CTCTTTATATATCAAAGATAGATAGAAAGTCTTTGTTTATCAATTTTTTTAATTCTCAATTTAACTTTTGGGCTTTAATATAATCAACTTCATTTTTGGATTTCTTTTTTACATAGAACTTTTTAATTTTACATAGGCAAATTCTTATAAATTTTTACTTTGGGTTTATTTTGCTAGATTTACAAACTACTAGTATTAAAACTGGGTACAGATTATATTCCAAGTATGAAATATTTTACAGAAGAATAAAATCTTTGAAAAATTATATTTTAATTTAGAAATATACAATATATGACATTTTTCCTGCTTATAAATCTTTGTGTTTTTTTCTTGCTATTATGGTTTATATTAATTTTTTTTTTAGTACCAGAGATTGAACCCAGGGGCACTTAACCATTGAGGCACATTCCATTTTTTATATTTTATTTAGAGACAAGGTGTTGGTAAGTTGCTTAGATTCTAGTTAAGTTGCTGAGGCTGACCTTGAACTCATGACCCTCCTGCATCAGCCTCCCGAGTCCCTGGGATTATAGGTGTACACCAGTGTGACCAGAGGCTGTTATTAATTAATAATCACATTGTCAAAGCTTTTCTAGAGTGAGGACGGTGGCTCATGTCTACAATCCCAGCTACTCAGGAAACAGGCAGGAGGCAGGAGGACAGCAAGTTCCAGCCTGGACAACTCAGCAAGACCCTGTTCAATATAAAATAGATAAAAAGGCATGGGCATGCAATTCAGTGGTGGAGCACCCTGGGTTTAATCCACAGCACACCACACATTTTCCTAGGCATAAACTGATACATAAAAACATAAAAATTAGGGGCTGGGGTTGTGGCTCAGTGGTAGAGTGCTTGTCTAGCACGTATGAGGCCTTGGGTTTGATTCTCAGCACCATGTATAAATAAATAAATATTATAGGTCCATGAGCAACTAAAAATATATTTTAGAAAAACATAAAAATCATACATGTCTGAGGTGCCACGTGACAGTTAATGCATGTGTACGCTGTGTGGTGTTTAGGTCAGGGTAAAGAGATCTATTTTCTCAAACATTTATCATTTCTTTATGGAGAAAGAATTTAAAACCCCGTCTTCTAGCCTTTTGCAGTGTACAGTACAGAGCAGACATCTGCAGCTCCCCTCTGTGCCACAGCAACCCTGAACTTCTTCTCCTGTCTAACCCTTTCCCCTCTGATGGACTGCCGCCACCCCTCCCTGCCCCTCTCCTCCCTCTAATGGCCACCATTCTACTCTTGGCCTCTAGGAGATCAACCGTTTCAGATTCCACCTGAGTGAGAGCAAGCAGTGCTTATCTTCCTGGACCTGGCTTCTTTCATCTCACACAAGGACCTCCAGTTCCATCCATGTTGTGGCAAATAAGAAGACTGCATTCTTTTTAATGGCTGAGTAATATTCCATTGTGTGTGGGTGGCATGTGCACACATACGTTCATTCTGGAGCCATTCGATAGTTGAGGGACACTCGCGTTGCTCTCATCTCTTAGGTATGTGACTAGTGCTACAGGATGTATGGAAGTGCAGGTGTCTCTCCAACACAGTGATTCCCTTTCTCTTCTCTGGATACATACAGCAGTGGGAGTGCAGGATCGTGTGATGGTTCTCTTTTTCACTTTTTAAGGAACTCTTTCCCTCAAAAACCGACTGTTCCCTACTCTTGTCCACAGTGACTGGGCTGAGTTAGAGGCCCACCCATGGTGCACGTCTCCCTTTCCCTCCCATCCCCAGCCCTGGTGATCTCAGTCTGTTCTCACTGCAGTGCGGTGATGTCTCACTGTGGGTTTCCTTGGCATTTCCCTGGTGATTGGTAGTTCTGGGCTTTCTTCCTGTTGACCACTTCTGGGTCTTCTTTGGAAATGTCTCATGAGTCGCAGTGCCCATCTTTTGACTCTTAGCTATTTATTTAGTTTTGCTGCTGAGGTCTGGGGCACCATCCACACCCTGGGTACCAGCCTCTTCCTCTACGGTCTGCTGCTTCCCCTCTACCAGTGTCTCTTTGCTGTGGAGAAGCTTTTGAACCTGACGTGGTTTCTTTGTCCAGTTTGCTTTTCTCCGCTGTGCATTTGGGGTCTTGTGTCGTTCCCTTCCCCCGTCCTCACGTGCTTCTTCTGTTCCCTTCTAGTAGTTTCAGAGTTTGGGCTCTGACCTTTAGGTCTCTGATCTGGGTGGAGTGGACGTCTGTAACTGGGGAGAGTGGGGCCCAGCTTTGCTCCTGTGTTGGTCCTGAGTTCTCCTCCTTCTTTCTCCAGCGCGGACTCTTGGTCAAACGTGGCTTTGCTGGAGGTGAGTGGGCTCACCTGGGGTTCCCTCCTCTGCCCCGTTGGCCTGCGGTCGGCTGCCGCGCTCACAGCAGGCTGCTCTGACGACTTCTGTCTGCAGCTGGTTTTCTGGGTTGGATCTGTACACAGTCGGCACCTCTGCTCACCTCTGACGGATGAGGCTTCAGAGAGCGCGTCCGCAGACTTCTCTCATAATTTTAAAACAATCTTTTCCTCGTTTCCTCTCCAATATTTGTACCTGCTCCTTTGTCACTTTCTGTTGCATTTACCAGAGTTTTCAGAACCGATCGGGGTGGGAAATGATGATAGGTTTAATGAAAGTTCATCTGAGCTTCGTTCCTCAAACTAGCAGTGGGGGCCTGGGGGCACCTGAGTAGACATATCCATGTGTACCCATGAGCAGAGGCCTCCCGTCAGTCGATGGAGACGCACACGTTTGCCAGGCCTTTCCGGTTCCTCCCTTCTTCCCAGGGATCTGCCGTCTGTTCTTGATGGTGCAGAGGACAGAGCAGCAGGAGGCAGGCACAGTGGGCCACTGGGTCAGCCCCGCAGGACAGCACCCAGTGCCCGCAGCCTTGGTCCCCCCAGGGGCGGAATGGAATGCTCCCTGCCTGCAGGAGCGTCCCCGGGTCTGCCCTTTCAAAGCCGTACCCCTCAGGCTGCTCAGCGCCTCTGCGGGCTCCGCTAGGTGTGGGCTCATCTGCATGTCTCCTTCGCCACCGGCCCCAGCCCTGAGCCCAGCCAGGTGACGCATTCGCCTGTCAAGAAGCACTCATCAAAGGCCACTTTCCACAGCCAAGCATGTCCCTGAGTGTGACTTCCAGAGGGCACCCAGTGACCACCAGAGTCGGCCGACTGCATTCACCTTCCCTAAGACGGCTCGGCCTTGTTTGTCTCCTGTGGCCAAGTGAAGGGGCCGCGATGCTCTTTGTCACTCGGGCCCACAGAGTTTTGTGAAGCATGGGACACAGGAAAGACCCTCTAATGGCTGAGATGGTTTCTCCTTCCCACTCATGGATCCCAAAACCCGGCCTTGCCTTGGGTACAGAGCGCACCTGAGGTCGCTGCGGGGAAAATAACACCAGGCCCCTCACAGGAGCGCGCCCATGCAGCAGGCCCCGCTCAGGGCACGTTCTGCATGGACGCCGTCGACCGGCCAGTGCTGCCCGGGGGTACCCATAACGATGCACCGAGGGCGGGGACGGTGCCCAGGTTCCCTGGCTGCCGTGGCCTGGTACCAGGCACAGAGCAGGACCACGGCTGCTGGGGACCCCTGGCTCCGCATCCTCCCAGACAGAGAGGCCTGGAAGAGGGAGGCCACAGGTGAAGGGACAAGTGCTCCCAGACAGAGAGGCCTGGAAAGGAAGGGAGCTGGGAAGGGGATGGGTCCCGGGCCAGGCCACCCCGCAGTGGAACAGAAGGTACCCAGCTGACCAGAAGGGAAGGGGGAGAAGCAGGAGCCCAACAGGGGGAAGAAGAGCGAGGACCAACAGCCTCCTCCAACAGAAATCTGCAGAAACATCTAAAGAATCAATCCCTGGAGTCTTCTATGAAAATCCCCGAACGACCAAGAAGCAGCTGTACCCAAGCGAAGCCCCACGTGCAGCCGATTAAGTGCCAATGGGACGGATTGGAAAGAAGCTCTGTCTCTTGTCTTTTTGTATCCCCACCCATCAAGCTCGTTGCTTTCCTCCCAAGAACAAATGACGATCTGGTCTTCAAGAAAATGCTTTTTGAGGTAGCTTAAGGGACAGCTTTGAAGGGCATCGCAGAGGAGAAGGGCTGTTGGTGAGAGCGCCACCAAAGGCCGTCGCCAGCCCAGGCTGACGGGAAGACGGTCTGTGACATCCGTGGAGGACTGCCTGGCGTAAAGGACACACTGAGGCCCCTGCTTTCAAGTCACACGTCCAAGACGCCTCCCCCAGGTCAAAGTCAATCATGATACCAGACAGGAAGGCAGTTCTTTGCCCTTGACTCCAGAGTCCAGAGTCATGAGACTCCACAGGAAGCCAGATTTGTAATTTTGTGATTACAAAAGAAGCCTGGAAGTTAAGCCACAGTCATATTTAAAAGAAGGTTCCTTTCAGCTGCTTCAGTATTCCGTGACTGGCTCTTCTTTGGCCCACCCTCTCCCACCGAGGTCAGCAACTTCAGAGAGTGACCCATGAGAGTCGGCATCCCACTGGCAGGATCTTGGGCACGGGAAGAGAGCCTGGCCCGTCGTGTAGGACCGCCAGAGAGCAACAGGGACCAATCCCCCAAACCCACAAGTTAGGACGGCATCAGCTCACGGTCCTGGGACCCGAGGTCGGAATGAAGGCGGGGGACGTGCTTCTCCAGGGCTGGGGGAAGACGCGCCCACGCCTTTCCTAGGTTCTGTCACCCAGCCCTTGGCCTTGCTGGACTTGTGATGTATCGGTCCTACGACTGCCTCTCTGGTCATGTGGCTGGCTTTCTCTGTGTCCTTTCTTATAAGGACACCAGCTGCATTGGGTCAGTGCCCACCCCGATGACCTCATCTTAATCTGACTACATCTGCAAAGACCCTGTTTCCAAGGGAGGCACATCAATCGGTACCTGGGATTAGGGCTCAGTCCTTTCGTTCTGCAAAATAGTTTAGCCCACAACTAAACTGTCCCCAACTGCCAAAGGAAAGCGGTTCTTGGAAGAAGGGTTTAGAGAATTAACGAATTTATTCACGATGTGTCATTTGATAATATATATTATTTAAAAATCCTCTATATCATTCTTTGAAAAAAGAAAAACACTCAAAATCCTGTGTATGTTTGGGGGTTTGACTTTAGCCTCTCATTGCTAAAAAGACAAATTAAAATTCTTAGAATTTAAAATGTCTAGATGCAAAATGAGGGTTTAGTGTAACTAAGGCCGTATGCTAAGTAGAGAGCTCACACTGATCTCTGTTTCTAGTTCATATCTCTTCCTCACAGTAAATGTTGTGATGTACAAAATTATTTTCCATTTTACCATACAATTGTGTGTGTTTCCTAATATAGAACTTTATCAGAACGTAATGCTTACCAATATAATTTTGTCTAGTGTGCATCTGTTCCTATGAGCATGTGGCTTATGGGTTTATATTTAAATGTCACACACTTATACGGCAGGAGGCACAGAACATGGGTAGAGGACAATACAACTCGCTTTTCTGTTCTTTCAGTGAATCTAATTTGATTGAGCACTGTGCGACACCCTGTAGGTATTAGGACAATGTCCTTTTCCTCAAGAAACTGTAGTAGTTGATGGAACAGTGGTTCTTTGGTACTTTGATTACTGTCTCCTTGAAGGTTCGGATGAAAGCCAGAGCGCCTTGTGCCTCCCTGTTGTGAAGAAGGCACCCGGGATGTTCCTGCATTTTAGCTGGGCATCTGACCTACCCCAGCCAAAGAGGAGCCCCGAGATCACACAGCACTTTGCTCTCAGAGAGTAACTGTCTCCTCTGTCCTCCTCTCCTCCAGAGAGACAGACAGACAGACAGGGCCTTCGTCTGGGCGGGCAGGCAAGTCCTCTGAAGAGAGGAGGGAAAGACCCTGGGATGCATGAGCCTGGGCGTGTGAGGGAGGTCAGCGCCCTGTGTCCCAGGAGCAGGTCGCCGTCTCCTGCCCTGGGGTGTGGCTGCCATGCTTCCTCCTTCAACCCCGGCCAGTGAACTGTCCTCAGTCAGCCCTCGCCATGTGGGAAGGGGAATCATTAAAACATCCATGGGTCGCGGCCTTCCAGACAAATGCCCTGAGCCGTGAGATGTTCAGAGGGCCGCCCTGAGGCTCCATCAGGGAGAGAGCCCGTGGGGAAGGGCCCAGGCCGGGTATTCTTCAGACGTGCCCCTCGCCTCCTGCTCACGGCGGGCTGCCCAGCTCAGGAGGCCCTGGAGACCAATTCCAAGTCAGCCGCGAGGCCACGGGAGCACCTGTGCCAGTGGCCTGGGTGTCCTTCCTCCCCCCGCTGCCCTCCGTAAGTCACGGCACCGCCTCCACGTTTCGCATGAAACACACCTAAATGTCATAAAGGAGATCAACCCAGCTGCCGGTGGACTCCGGCCACCAAGGGGCAGGTTTTATGGCCCTTGCATCTTGGCTGGCCTGGGTCTGCTGTCACCCACTGACCACAGGGGACAGGACACTGTGCCGGGTCTGGTGCTGAAGATGCCCGTGGGCCTAAGGCAGTGGCCCTGGGCTGTCCTGTCAGAAATCCAGACACCCCAACTGTCCTGGGTGAATTCCTGCCTGGGGAGGAAGCCCAAGCTAACTGCGTGGTGTGACAAAAGAGAGTGAAGGGACGAGGCGGGTCACAGTAACAGGAACCAGGTCAGACCGACCGGGTCTCAGGAGCCTCTGCACTGGACCTCCGTGGGCTGGAACAGCTCTGCTCCTCCTCCGCGGCTTGTCTGTGGGTGAGATCGGAGCCTCGGGCCACAGGGGGTCGGCTGCAGCCTCTTCCTGTCGCAGTTGGCCAGTGGGAGGGTCTGCCATGAGCACTTGAATGTGACACAGGCTTTGATGTTCCCATAATGTGGGGGTGCCAGAGTTTGTGCTGTTATCTGACACAGAATAGAAGCGTGGATGTAATTATTTTGTCACTTTATAGCTAAAATTACAACATGGAGTCACAATTAGATGGTGGATTCAGAGTTCTCCAGCATTGTTTGTCCTTTGGAATGCCACAGGGGATACCCACCTGGCCAGTTCCCTTCCTCGGTACCTAGCAACGCGTGGGCTCTCCGCCTTCTCACGGAATGTAGCAGATCACTTGCATGGAGCCTGTTCACTTGGGTATCACCTGACCCCTGGCTGGCTGGCTGGCTGTTTGGGATCCTTCCTCTCTGGAATTTGCATCCATTTATTTCTCACGTCTATTCTTTGTCTTTTGACATGTATTTTTTTTTATCTCTTCTTCTCTAACTACAATATTATTATCTATGATTTTCTCATACGTCTATTTATATTCCCAAAATATTTTTAAAATGCTATCAGTTTTTGAGAAAGTTACCCGGTAGATTTGAAATCTCATAAGCTCCATCTTAGTGAAGGTTACACTGGAAACGTCTTAATTGGTGATGCTAAGACATCAAATAGGTGGCCATGTGATCAGAGGCCCAAGGAGCTACTAACAGATTCTAAAACAGACGATTTGACTGAATTCTAGTAGCAATCTGAGGCGAAATATGTCATTGCCCTTCGTGGATATATGAATGTGGGAAGGAAATGAGGTGGGTTATTGGCGGGAGGGCAGGTCCGGCCGCCATGTCCTCCTCCTTGCCCTTTCCCTCTGTAGTGTCCAGTCCAACACAAAGGAGTTGGTGTAGCTCAGGACTAGGTTTTCCATGGCAGTCAGCTCACCTGCGACGCTGTTGTTGTCTTCCGACTGGAGCCTTCTCCCAGTGTTCAGTCGGCTTCACTTTGCTGTGCCTGGAAGAGCTGACCAGAACAGTTGTAGGGGAGGAGAGTCTGTTTGGGGTCTCATAGTTTCAGAGTTCTCAGTCCATAAGAGGCCAGTTCCGTTCCTGGAGGCTCAAAGCGAGGCAGAACCTCATGGTGGAAGAGGGTAGCAAAGGGAGGCAGCTCACGTGCTGATCAGGAAGCAGAGACTCCACTCACCAGATCGAATATATCCCCCAAAGCCGCACCCCAACGACCACCTCCTGCAGCCCATCCCACCCGCCTCCCGTTACCCCTCACGTTAACCTCATCGGGGATGAATCCACCGATGAGGATAAGGCTCTCCTACCGGTCCCTCTCCTCTACACCTCCTTGCATTGACTCACACTTGAGCTTTTGGGGTCACCTCACAGCCAAGCCATAGCACCCAGCCTGCGTCTCCCTCTGATTCATTCTGTCCCCTCTCACTTTTCTTGTCCCTCTCCTGCTACCACAGGGCTGGGCAGAACCTGGACAGGAGGAGACGGCTGAGGACAGAAGACGGGAGAAAAGTCCTTGTTGTTTTTTGTTTCTTGAACAGTTTCAGATTGGTTTGAAGCAGACATGGGATGAAGTCCATGGTCAAGCCCTTCGCCCCCACTGACCTGAACTCTCAGTGGTGGCCCCGGCTGGGGACCCTCTCCAATTTCCCCTCTCAGCTACAGCTGGGTGCTTCACAGACCCCCCGCTTCAGGGTGCCCAAAGCAGAGCTCTCACCCTCCCACCTGCTCTCCTAGTCTTCCTCCTCTCAGTAAAAGGAACCATTCGGCCTCCTGCTCAGGACATCAATGTAGACGCCCCTTGACTCGCTTTCCTCCTCCCCCAGTGTGCAGCCCAACAGTGGTCCCGTTACCTCTCCCCCCCACCCTAGATCCCGTCTCTTCTCCTGGGACCTCAGCCTGGCCCTCTACCTGGGCTCCCTGCTTCTAGGTCAGCCCTCCTGCCATTCCCAGGGGTCAGGCTGGGAACCAGCCTCCTCCAAACTCGCTGTAGGACACAGTTTCATTCTTTGTGCCCCACATTCTCACCTGTGAAACTGGGTAAGAGAGAAACACTTCCCCATACTCCGGTGACTGGGTGAGGACTCGCCCTCACGACAGCCCTGGACACACTGAGGCTGGATGAACGCTGGCCATTGTTCTCAGTGCACACCTGTTTTCCACGGTGAGGGGCAGAACCCTGAGAACCCTAGAGATTCTGAGACACGTTCCACAGTTACAGAAGATGTTCACACACAGGGAAGCTGGGGGGGTCCTCCCAGCTCTTCTATAAACCAAACCTATTTCTAAGTAAACTCGTTTGTAAAATGTGCAGGACACCATGTCCCTGCCATAGTGACATCCTCCAGATCCTCCCTTTACTCAACCCTTCATCCTGGCCTGCAGAACCCATCCTGCTCCTGATCGGTGACTGGCCAACCCCAGACTCACCTCCCAGTCTCCCGCAAACCTGCTCCCACCTCAGCCTCCCCTGTGCCCCGTCTGTGGACACTCTGCCTGCCGCTCTGCCCACGAGTCTTCTTGGTGCGTTCCTGGCCTCCCTTGACTCCACTCTGGACACCTCCTCCAGCAGGAGTTGACGCTCTGCCTCCTGCTCCACCTCCCGCTCCCTCCCCGGGACTTGATCTCTCTCCACGGTCTGTCCATGGCTATCTCCATCACTCTGGGCTGGTTCCAGGACACTGAAGTCTGCGGGTGACCAGGCACTTGGGTAAAATGGTGTCACATTCACATCTAAGCCCTGCAGTCCTCCCATGTACTTTAATCATCTCTAGGTTACCTAAAACGCCTGAGGCAGTGTGAACGCTGTGTGATAGTTATTATTCCACATTGTACAGGGAGCAATGACAAGAAAAGTCTGTGCATGTCCTGTACAGATGCACCTTTTTTCCTTTTGGGGGGAACTGGGCATGTGTTCAGTCTGCAGTTGGTTGAATCTGAGGATGCGGAAGCCCTGGGTCCAGAGGGCTGACCAAGTAGATGTAAAATAATGTAAGAATTCACCAACATTAACAAATGGCCTCTTCAGCAAAAAAGACCAGTGTATTGTTTCTTTATATCTTGGTTCTCAATCTTTAGGATAGATATTAGTTCCTTTATCACCAAAATAATCCTTCATGCCATAATCTCAGAACATCACCTCAGGTCCAGAACATCACCTCGAGGTAAAGGCTTTGGTCCTTTAAAAAATATTCCCTATTCAATACCCCGATAGGAAAAAAAAAAGTGGGATTACCTTGTAAAAAGTCAGGCAAAAATGCCATTATTCCTTTGTTTGTTCCCCATTAGAATGTTTGATAGTTGGAGGAAAACGATGTGGAATAGGAGGTGCAGAGTTGTTGCAGACCCAGGTGATCAGCCACTGGAGTCGGTTCGTAATGCTGTTCAATTAGACTCAGTAGCAATCAGAAAGGAATCACCCTGCCCATTAGGAATTTGAAACATTGCTTTGCCCGGCTCTGGCTGGATTAGATACAGTCCAAATTGTCTGTGGGCGTTAGAGGAACTCAAATTTTCTCAGCTGAAAAGGAAAAAAAACCACCAAAGCACTCTGAGAACCACAGGCTGGGGAGCCATCCCGCGCCCCTGCAGGGACACCCAGGGACGCTCAGCAGGCTGCAGCTGGCCGTGGTGTCCCCATGTCACCCTCTTCAGGCCCCGCAGGCTGCACAACAAAGCCAACTGCTCTCCAGATGAAATCGGGTTGCCTTCTCCAGGGGAAACGTGGTTTCTTCTAGCTGTTTATCTTGACTTAATTCCAGGCTTCCGAAAAAAGCTGTCAGACGAGGAGAGAGAATCTCCACGTGGTCTCCAGCTGGACCCCCGTCACCGTCTCCCCCGTGTGCATCCTTGTCTGTACCCAGACCTTCCCCCCCCGTGCCGCTGGGAGCCAATGGACAACGTGCTGCTTCTGTGCTTCTAAAAACTCCTGCAGGTGTCCTTGATGTAAGGGTGTGGGTTAGTCAGCTTTCCACATCTGTGACCCCAGTGCTTGACAAGGACAACCTGGAGGAAGAAAACTGAGTTTGGGTTCCAGTTCCAGAGGGTTCAGTCTATGGTGATTTTGTCTGGGCCCAAGGGGAAGTAGGAATCAGAGTGGAGGACACGGTGGGGGAATGCTCTCAGCTCATGGCAGCAGAGGCAGAATGAGGAGCCAGGGACAGAGCACCCCAAGGACACGCCCCCAGTGACCTGCTTCTCTAGCCATATCCCACCTGCCTACAGTTACCACCCAGGAATCCATTCAAATTATGAGTCCACCAAATGGATTAATCCAATGATCCAGTTTCAGCTCTCATCATCTAATTTTTCACCTCGTATCATTGATGCAATAACCGTGAGCTTTTCTGGGGCTACCTCACATCCAAACCATAACAAAGGGTAATCTGTTATATAACCACAGCATAATTATCACCATCAGGAAACCAGTGCTGATGCCAGCCTCTTATCTAATACACAGAGCTTAATTAGACTTCTTAAGTACGTACCTAATGGGAGAGACGAACTTCAGCTGACGCGTTGTGTTCGGTTTCCTAAGCCTTTATCCCTTCTCATCAGGATCAGTCCCTTGGTCCTTCTTTTCATCTTGTGACAGTAACAATTTTGTCAATTACAGGACAGTTATTTTGTCCTTCAATTTGGGTTTGTCTGATGATAGCTCAGGCTGAAATCCAAGCTATGCGTTTCTGGCAGGAGTGTCATGGCCATGAGCTGTGCCCTATCAGAAAGCACATGATGTCACCTGTCCCATAGCTGGTGAGGGGGACTCTGATCACTGGGTTGGAGTGGGGGTTGCCAGGTTTCTCTCAATGAAACTGGGATTAGAATATTTACTTACTTAGACATAAAAATGAGCCTGAATGAAATCCCAGTTCCTCTTCAGAAATTAATCCTCCTTAATCACATTGCAGTTTAAAGGAAATTCAGCAGAAAACATGCACAGGTAGAGAACATTGGCTTCTTGGTGTCTCAAGATGAGAAAAGAGATGTCTGCAGGCAGTCAGGTGGGAGAGCAAGCCTTTGGCAAAGACACGGGTTGGTCGGCTCTGGGTGTGTTTATTACCTGTTTCCCTCTTTCCTACATGTCAAGCACCTTGAAAACTGTCTACCTGAAGAGGAAGATCGGATGTTACCAAGCTTTTTGAAAGGGAAAAAAATCCATATTTCCTTTCAAACTTCTATTGAAATGTAGATAATTTCACATCCTGGGAGAGGTTCGTTTCATACTGTTTGGTGGGACCTTAGCCTTATCTGACGTGAACTCTGCTTTTCTACTAAGTCCTAGAGTAGGGTGAGCTGGGATCTCTGGGAGAACCGAGTTAGGATCCAGGCTTCTGAGGTGTAGAGGTCCTGCATGTGCATGATGATCTCCAGGGCAGGCTGGCCTCCTGTCCATCCTCCTTCCCCCACTCCTCTGTAGTCCAGTACCAAATAGTTGGCAGAGCTCAATAGCAGGCTCTTTCATGGATGTGTTTTCATGACATCCTGATGCTGAAGTCGAAACTGTAGTTTCTAGGAGGTATCCTACTTCTCATTCAACTCATTCTAGTTATCCCATAAGAAATCAAGAAACAAGTGCAGCAAGGGACCTTCTGCTACAAATGTATTTAAAATTTTGAATTGGTCAGAAGGCCAGATAAACTATAGGATACTCAGTTATATTTGAATTCCAGAAAAACAAAAATATCTGGGACATGTACTAAAAAGTTACTGTTTATCTGAGACTCAAGTATATCTGAAACTCCATTTTAGGTGTCCTGCATTGTGGGCTAAAGCTAACAATCCCAGGCTTATATCAAAATAGGTCCTGTGCTGCTCTAAGAACTGGTTTGGTTTTACTCTGTGGATTTTGATGTGCTTCTCTTTTCTCTGATCACCAGGAAACTCTGAACCCCATTGGTGGCCCCCCAGAGCAATGTCCTGGGCTTGATCATGTGCAGTCAGTCCATGGTCCTGCCCACCTCCCCACCTCTCTCAGTTCCTCTCCCCCACAGACCCCCTCCGCTCCTCCCTTCATCAAAACAGCGGGAACAATATGGAGAAACCACCTTGCTTGTCGGGACATTCCTAAACTGTCTCATATCATTTATTGAGACCTAGGGTGTGTTAAAATAACTGAATATATAACTATAATTTATACCTATAGAATAAAGAAATTTAATCCTAACAATTATGTCTATTGATATGTTCTTATCAATATTCAGAGAATGTTCCTATATCAACCACATGAGCTAAAATTATTTTTTGATAATTTAAATATATAATATGACATAACTTTCTACTTAGACAGTAGGGCACTTGATGATTTTCCTATCTTCATCAATTACCATGCTCATGAAAATGTTGTACATGTTTACAGTTATTTTCCATTTTTTATTTGCACTTTTTAGTTATATATGGCAGTAGAATGTATTTTGACATATTATACATACATGGAGAAAAACTTCCTATTCTTAGGGTTGTACATGATATGCAGTTACACTGGTCATGTATTCATATATGAACATAGGAAAATTATGTACTATTCATTTACTGTATTTCCTTACTACACCCCCTCCTTTCCCTTCATTTCCCTTTGTCTAATCCAATGAACTTCCATTCTTCCCTCCTCCATCCCCCATTTATTGTGAGTTAGTATCTGCATATCAGAGACAACATTCGGCCTTTGGATATAAAGAATTGGTTTATTTCACTTAGCATGATAGTCTCCATTTCAACCTATTTACTAGCAACTGGCATAATTTTATTCTTCATTATGGCTAAGTAATATTCCATTGTATGTATAATATTCCATTACACACACACACACACACACACACACACACAACACACACACACAACCACATCACATTTTCTTTATCCCCTCTTCTGTTCAAGGGTACCTAGGTTAGTCCCACAGCTTAGCTATTAGGAATTAAGCTGCTATAAACAATGATGTGGCCCTGTCACTATAGTATGCTGCCTTGAAGTCCTTTGGGCACATGCACAGGAGTGGGATAATGGGGTCAAATAGTGGTTCCATTTCAAGTTTTCTGAGGAATCTCCATACTGCTTTACAGAGTGGTGAACCAATTTGCAGTTCCACCAGCAATGTATGAGTGAACCTTTTCCCCCACATCTTTATCAAAATTTATTGTTACTTGTATTTCTGGTAATTGCCATTCTGTCTGGAGTGAGATGAAATCTCACTGTGGTTTTAATTTGCACATTTTTTGTATCTTTGTTGATGATTTATATTTCTTCTGTGAAGTATCTGTTCAGTTCCTTAGCCAATTTATGGATTGGGTCATTTGGTTTTGGGGTGTTAAGATTTTCTGTTCTTTATATATCCTGGAGATTAATGATCTGAGGTGCAAGTGGCAATGATTTTCCCCCATTCTGTAGGCCCTCTGTTCACATTCTTGATTGTTTGCTTTGCTGTAAAGACGGTTTTTAGTTTGATACCATCCCATTTATTGATTCCTGATTTTACTTCTTGTGCTCCAGGAGTCGTGATGAGGAATTTGGTTACTAAGCCAACATGATAGAGATTTAGGCCTACTTTTTCTTCTTTTAGGTCTCTGGTCTAATACCTAGGTCCTTTTTCCACTTTACATTGAGTTTTATTCAGGATGAGAGATAGGCATTTAATTTCTTTTTTCTACATATAGATTTCAACATTTGTTGAAGAGGCTATCTTTTCTCCAATGGATGTTTATGGTACCTTTTTCTAGGATGAGGTAACTTTATTAATGTGGGTTTGTCTCGGTGTCTTCTGTTCTAGACCATTGGCCTTCATGTCTGTTTTGGTGCCAATACCATGCTGTTTTTGTTATTATAGTTCTGTAGAATAATTTAAGGTCTGGTATTGTGATGCCTCCTGCTTCACTTTTCTTGCTGAGGATTGTTTTAATTATTCTGGGCTTCTTATTTTTCCAAATGAATTTCATGACTACCTTTTCTATTTCTGTGAAGAATGTCATTGAGATTTTAATAGGAATTGCACTAAGTCTGGGTGGCACTTTTGGTAGTATGGCCATTTTAACAATATTAATTCTACTATCCAAGAACATGGGAGATGTTTCTATCTTCTAAGGTTCTCTTCAATTTCTTTCCTTAATGTTCTGTAGTTTTTATTACAGAGATCTTTTACCTCTTTTGTCAGAGTAATTCTCAAAAAATTTTTGAGGCAATTGTAAATGGGAATGTTTCCTAATTTCTCTTTAAGTTGATCCATCACTGATATTTAGGAACTTAACTGTTAATTTTATATCCTGTTACTTTGCAGAATTAATTTATGAGTTCTAGAAGTTTTCCTGTGGGGTTTTTGGATGTTCTAAATATAGAATCATGTCATCTGCAAATAGTGATAGACTTAGTTCTTCTTTCTCCTATTCTAATCCCTTTAATTTCTTTCTTCTAATTTCTGTGGCTAGAGTTTTAAGGCCTATGTGGAATAGAAGTGTTAAAGGAGGTCATCCCTGACTTGTTACAGTTTTTAGAGGGAATGCTTTCAATTTTTCTCCATTTAGAATGATGTTGGCCTTGGGTTTAACATGTATAACTTTTGCAATATTGAGGTATGTTTCTACTAGTCTTCCTAGTTTTTTGAACATGAACAGATGCTGTGATTTATCAAATTCTTTTTCTGCATCTATGCAGATAATTGGGTGGTTCTACAATTAGGTCTACTGATGTGGTGAATTACATTTATTTATTTCTGTATGTTGAACCAACCTTGCATCACTGAGATGAACCACACTTGATCATGGTGCACTATCTTTTTAATATGCTTTACTTATGATTTGACAGTATTTTATTAAAAATTTTGCATCTATGTTCATGAGGGATACTGATCTAAAGTTTTCTTTTCTTGATGTGATTTTCTCTGGTTTTGGTATCAGGATAATAGTAGCTTCATAGTATGAGTTTGAAAGGGTTCCCTCCTTTTCTATTTCATGGAATAATTTGAGGGGGATTGGTGTTAATTCTTCTTGGAATACTATCTGGTAAAACTTGGCTGATACTCCAAC